GATTATATTTAAGTGATCCTCACCGACGAAGTATATTATATGATAATCTATTTTAACAGGAACAAATTTTTATTATGTATTTTAATATTATAGTTAAAATAATAAATGTTATCACTCTAAAAAGTATACATGTATATGCCAATGGTGCAGGGACACTTTTGACTAAAGAAATGTGCAGTGGTGGAACATACACCAAAATGTACTCGACACTTGTGGACATTTATGTGACACATCACTTAGGTTCTTTGGCGCAGCTGCAGCTTAAACTGTTTGCGCTGTTTCAGGAAGCTGCTTCGGGGAAACTGCTGCAGAGAAACTGGCTGCCTGTTTATTGCAGCTTTGTGAAAATAACTGTGGGGCAACTGTTTATGGAAAAATGACTATCATGTCCCTGTATAGTGTTTATATATATAACAGAAGTAAATATATTTTTTTATATTAAACAAATTATTTTCTAAGCAATAAATTAACATTAATTATTTTTATTAATTTACAAAATTTATATGTTTATCAAAGAATTTAAAATTTAAAAATGTTTATAAAATTAGTAATTAATCATTAAATAATAGTATATAATTTTATCTAATAACTTTGAAAATATAGTTAAGGAGGTTATGAAATAATATACATGATTAATTTGAAAATATATGAATTAATCATTGTTATTTAATAAAATAAATCAATAAAATTAAATCAAATATATTTACATATCTAACACCTAAACTTTTCTTTTTTTTTTGTTTTTTTTTACATTCATATCACTAAAAACTTTCATATCACATAAAATGTATATGATGGTACTGAGTGATATGTCTGCACATCTTCATTCTTTTCTTAAAAGATTGAAGGAATCAAGCTATCAACGAACATATTTGTGGCAGTTGCAGCGAACATATTCGTGGCGGTTGCAGGCAAGGCAATGAATTGGAGCCAAAATACCATAATTGTCTAATCTGGTGCCAAAATAAATGAGGACTAAATTTAATACTATTAAGGCAAGAAATCACTTATAAACAATACATAATTACAGATACACACCTCACTTCACAGTGAGTATTAAGAGTGCAAAAAAAATTCTAAAACTATTAAGAAATTTTTAGATACATACCACTCAATTGCTTTTAATTTTCAAATCTAACACCTGATATATAAATACAAAGGAATTGGGTGGTATATATTTAAGAGCTGAATGGCTGATATAAAAATTTACTGCAATATTCTAACAGACGCCTGAATTAGTTACTAATGCCTAATATTCGGTACCACATCCTCCATTGGATTCATACCCATTCATCAAAATCTAACACCTCATATAGCTTAACGTTATTTGAATAATGTTGTTGAATAAAGCTTTTGATGCTTTGAAAATTCAGGACATAAGAAAGTATAAAGTAAATAAAAGAAAGAAATATTCTCTCTGAATTACTGATATTGGTTATACAGAAATGCAAAAGGAGGTTCTAACCATCGTCAATTTCCCAAGAGTACCAAATAATACATAAAATACAGTTTATGTGAAAGCTTCTCAAGTTGAATAATGGGGTAAAGCAAGTCAATAATGCTACAAACCCAGAAGTAAAGAAAGCTTCTACCATCACCTCCCAAGAGCAGTTATTGAGTGAAAATAAAAAA